ACATTCGTCTTTTTCCTCGTGAGTACAAACATTCGTCTTTTTCCTCGTGAGTACAAACATTCGTCTTTTTCCTCGTGAGTACAAACATTCGTCTTTTTCCTCGTGAGTACAAATATTCGACTTTTTCCTCGTGAGTACAAACATTCGACTTTTTCCTCGTCAAAATTTAGCTTTTAGGCCGGCTTGTATGTCTATAATTTAGCCAAACGTATGTACTTGTCTTTAATTCAGGAATGCCTACTTGTAAATAATTTAGATATGACTATGTATCTGTACATAAGATATGCCTGCTTTCCTGTACTTTAGATATGCCTGCTTTCCTGTACTTTAAATATGCCTACTTGGCTTTACTTTAGATATACCTACTTGTAAGCCTCCCCCTCCCCCAATCACTAAACAGCGAGGGGTTTATGACCAAACTTTCTGTAAACATTGTTTTTAGAAAAAAAACCCAAGTCATATAGAGTGTGTGATTGATGTTTGATCTAAATATCACTGAAGTCATATAGAGTGTGTGATTGATGTTTGATCTAGTTATCACTGAAGTCATATAGAGTGTGTGATTGATGTTTGATCTAAATATCACTGAAGTCATATAGAGTGTGTGATTGATGTTTGATCTAAATCTCTAACTAAAGTTGATGGTTATTGGGGAGGGAGGGGGTCGTCATCCATGTAGGGCGTTTAACGAATCTGACAAAATGAACACATACCCGATATTGCTAACTGGCTCTTTTGACACCACCCAGCTGATCTCGATGAACTTTGTTTCTTCCATAATTTTTTCTCCGGGGGGGGGGGGGAGGGGGGGGGCGGCGCTGCTTATTGGGCGAATTAGACGGTCGCCTAGGTTTAATTGCTGTTATAAAAAAAACTGACTAATCATAACAAAAAAGGCGTTCTCTAGCTGAAAAATCTTTAGTTTTTTAGGAATCTATATTACCACTCTTAAAGTTTTAATATATAATATTATATAGGCTGGAAATTATAACTTAGCGTGAACTTTGTTTTTTTTCAAATCACCTATTTTTCTTATATTTATACTATCATTATGGCAATATCTTAAAAAGTTACCCGTACTTGATTTTTTGAACGGCTTCCGTACAATTAGAGGGGATCCAAAATTTGAAGTGTTGTACCAATATTTAGAAAATAACAAATGATAATATGAATATCATCAATATTGACTAGAAGTATGTTATAATAAAGCTACCGTTTTTAGACTTAACATATAGTTAAATAGTCAATAAGTAGAATATATTCTTTTGACACGGTTACATAGATAATGTAAAGAATTTTTTGTAATTATTACCTAATGAAATTTACAGCGTTTTATTGTGTTTTTCAAGCATGTCAGTTACACTTGGTTGATTTAGCTATTCTTGTGAAAGCTGTTTCCCTTGAATAAAATTTTGGTATTTTTATTTCCAAACGGGAGATAATTCTTTGCTTCATTCATTTCAAATTCCTGCACATTAGGTTGACCCAGTGGCGTAGCGAGGTCTGTTGTCACCCAGTGCGGCACTTAATGGTGTCACCCCCCAGAGGCGTAGCGACTCTTCCCGGGGACAAACTTTTAAGTTTTGATTTGCACCCCCCCCCCCCCTCAAACTTTCGATTTGCACCTCCCCTCAAATTTTTCTCCATATATTTTTCTATTTTTTTTTTACCTTGGTGTCACCCCCCCTAAATGGTGTCACCCGGTGCGGTCCGCACCCCCCGCCCCCCCCCCTCCCCCTCGCAACGCCTCTGGGTTGACCGCTTACTTATAAATACAACTTTAAGTTATTATTTCCTATTGTAAAATTATACAGAGCAGAAGTTCTAAACAAAATAGTTTGGTAGTTTTTTTTAGCACTATCAGGTTGAACAACAAATACACCAGTAGCCGTTGTAGATTGAAATACTTGCAATAGTAGACATACATTATGAGATAGTGCAACAAATGCGTCTAAAATCGTCTTAGTCGCAAATTAATCATCTAATAAATAAAGTGTCTTTTTCATATTTTTCACCCTCTCCTGAAGGATTTATATATAACAATTGTAGGCTGGAATCTATAACATTTATAACCTTTTATTTTTATTCTTCAAAAACAAAAATACCGTTACATAATCACACAATATAGACATTTTACAATAATAACTATCGACAGTCAAGCCTAAAACAGGTAAGTTTCGTTCTGGAACTCTCCTTGGGAGGTCTGCAGAGAGCCCAACACTACAAAAACTGTGGTTTCTTTCCAGTGTTTTTTTTTCCCGAGACTTTTTTCTCTCGGGAGGGGGGGGGGGCGGGGAAAGCACTTGAAATTTTCTAAGGAGGTGGGGGGGGGGGAAAGAGAAGGGAGGCTTTGATGTCTACTCATAACGTGTATGCAATTGATGATAAATTAATGTCTCTTTTAATTAATTTTTTTCTTATACATATGCTTTAGTAATTAATTTGTGTTTTAATAAGTTTTGCCTAGGGCGCTATTTAACCTGGCGCCGGCAGTGGGGGGTGCGGGGGGGGGGGGTTCTAAAATATTTCCGGGGGTGGGGGGGGTGGACACTGGTATAAGTATATATTTTCTATATGAATTCTATTTCGCTGGGGGGGGGGGGGGGGGGTAGCAAGATATGTGTGGAAGAAACTCTGCTAAATGAAGTATATTGTTAGTCCAAAGTAATGCTTTTTTTTCTTCACTAGTTTTAATGTTTTAGTAGAAAAAAGTTGCCACTGGTCTCAGCTGTCCATTTGATGGGAGAATATTGGTGTATATCGTGTAGCCTATATCGTGCATACTGTATATATCGAATAAACTCTCTAAGGCTCCCCTACCCTAATAAAACCTAGGATAAATCTCATCTTTAGAGTTTCTAAACATATGTATATAGCTCTAAATACATGCATATAAGTCTATTTATATAGGCCTCAATTCTAATATTATTGTATAGGCCTACCAAGTCCACAGCGGTACAATAGAATTAGAATTATCTGTCAAGGGAAGCTATCATGTTTTTGTTCTTTTTTTTCCCCGGAAAGAAGTGTTGTCTCCCCTTAAGTTCCAAGAATTGCTTTGACTTTACAAGAACAAAGGCCTTGTCGACTAAATAAATTCTCAGCAGTAAATTAAATAGACGGATTCTCTTACGCAACTCCATATCGTGATAAAATCTACAGAACAAATATGTAGTAACAGTAAGCGTAAGTCCACCTACTCATAACCAAATGCATTAAAATCATAGCAAAAATTCAGGCGTACTAGCTTGTAAGATGTAGCTTCTGTTAGTCGTAAAATCGTGAAAATTCTTGCACTGTTACACAGGGAAGAAGCTCTTTCACAGACTAGAGAACTTCACCAAGTCAATTTGATTTTGGTCGGCGTCATGAGATTTTTTTCCCCAGGCATCTAGGGAAGTTCTATATGTCTGTAGGACTCAGTATCTTCCTATATCTTACCTAGGACTTAGGTCCTTATTACTTTAATTTCTCCACTTGTAATATATAGTCCTTATTACATTTCTAAATGTTGGACATAAAGTGCTTATTACATTTCTATATGTTGAACATATATTATTATTACATTTCTTTATCTTGGATATAAAATACTTATTACATTTCTATATGTTGGACATAAAGTCCTTATTACATTTCTATACGTTGGACATAAAGTACTTATTACATTTCTATATGTTGGACATAAAGTACTTATTACATTTCTATATGTTGGACATAAAGTACTTATTACATTTCTATATGTTAGAACTGAATTCCTTATTATATTTCACTACGTGGGACATTCAATTATTTTGCCATCTACAGCTGGTGATTTAGGAATTTAAGCCAAGGTTTAGGCATAATTTTGTTTTATAATCTAAAACTCTGCAATCAATAGGTTTGTAATGTAGTTAATCGACCTGTCCATGTCGTTACGAAATTGTTTGGTTCATTTATTTATTTTTGCTTGAACCAGAAATCATAAATGATTCAAAGTTAACCAGACACCAGACAGCCCTTCATTGGGCGGTATGTCCCACACTTGCAGCATCGGACTCAACTTGGTCGCACACAGCCATTGGGGGGGGGGGGGGGGGTCGTATGATGCATTCCTATCTTCCTCACCCCACCACTGCAGTTCGTTCTTTTTCTTCTTCTTCGTTCTTAATTTTTAGTTTTGGAAGGGATCGAGCCTTATCTGCTAGAGGGTTGAACTCGAGACTTTTTTTTAATGTATCAACCATGAGCTTTTGCCGACTCGACCACACCTCCATCACAATTAAGGATACGTGTCAACTGGTTATGCGCCATTGAGGCCATTGACTCCGATTTTAGCCTGCTTTTCTTTTTTGGATTTGCTTCCATAGCCTTTGTCCAACCAAGAACAAACTACAAGGCAGCAGTTGTTTTAATTTTGGAGTTGTCTCTCCTAGAAGAGTAGCTGTCCCCAGCTAACGAGCCTCATCTGCCCGAGGGTTCGAACTCGAGGCTTTTCGGTTGCGTGAGCTTTACCGACTCGACCACGCCGACCCCAGTTCATTCAATAGTTGGGTTCTCTAGACACATGATAGTGACACTCACGATGATAGTGACACTCACGATGATGACAGTGACACTCACGATGATGATAGTGACACTCACGATGATAGTGACACTCACGATGATGACAGTGACACTCACGATGATGACAGTGACACTTCCATGGACTCCATGCTTGATATACGCACACGATGTTTGGCACATTTTTACCCGTTGTTCTTAAACGTTGGTTTGTATTGCTAGTTGATGTTTAATTTATTATCTTATTTTTAAAAAAATATTTTTTATCATTTTTATATTTTGCTATATTATAAATCAATAAAGTTAACTTGTTGTCCGGATAAAGTGATGTGTTAATAAAGTTAAACCAAGTGTCCAGATAAAATGGTTTAATGATAAAGTTAAACTAGGTGTCCAGATAAAGTGGTTTATTAATAAAGTTAAATCAGCGGTCCAGATAAAATGGTTTAAAAGTAAAGTTAAACAAAGTTTAGTTAGTTGTCCGGATTAAAACAGCTTATTGCCACTGAGACAAACATCCTCAGCTAACACTATCCACGTTCAAGGCTGCACACCTTCCCCTTATAAAATGCCTTGTATCTAAAGGGAATATAAAGGCAGGTATATACATTAGAGGGTACATCCTGTATATGTGTGTACAACTATATGTATATGTGTTATGTATATGTAAATTGCAATATGTAAGGTGCTGTAATAAAGCCTATTAGTGCTTAAATTAAACAATTATTAATTTTTTGTAAACTAACCCAGGGAGAAGTGCGCTGGGTGGGACACACACTGTGCTAGGCTTACTTGGACACACACTATACAAGGCTTACTTGGACACACACTGTTCTAGGCTTACTTGGACACACACCGTGCTAGGCTTACTTGGACACACACCGTGCTAGGCTTACTTGGACACACACTGTGCTAGGCTTACTTGAACACACACTGTGCTAGGCTTACTTGGACACACACTGTGCTAGTCTTACTTGGACACACACTGTGCTAGGCTTACTTGGACACATACTGTGCTAGGCTTACTTGGACACACACTGTGCTAGGCTTACTTGGACACACACCGTGCTAGGCTTACTTGGACACACACTGTGCTAGGCTTACTTGGACACACACTGTGCTAGGCTTACTTGGACACACACTGTGCTAGGCTTACTTGGACACATACTGTGCTAGGCTTACTTGGACACACACTGTTCTAGGCTTACTTGGACACACACTGTGCTAGGCTTACTTTGACACACACTGTGCTAGGCTTACTTGGACACACACTATACAAGGCTTACTTGGACACACACTGTGCTAGTCTTACTTGGACACACACTATACAAGGCTTACTTGGACACACACTGTGCTAGTCTTACTTGGACACACACTGTGCTAGGCTTACTTGGACACACACTGTGCTAGTCTTACTTGGACACACACTGTGCTAGGCTTACTTGGACACACACTGTGCTAGGCTTACTTTGACACACACTGTGCTAGGCTTACTTGGACACACACTGTGCTATGCTTACTTGGACACACATTATAAAAGGCTTACTTGGACACACTGTGCTAGGCTTACTTGGACACACACTGTGCTAGGCTTACTTGGACACACACCGTGCTAGGCTTACTTGGACACACACTGTGCTAGGCTTACTTGGACACACACTATACAAGGCTTACTTGGACACACACTGTGCTAGTCTTACTTGGACACACACTATACAAGGCTTACTTGGACACACACTGTGCTAGTCTTACTTGGACACACACTGTGCTAGGCTTACTTGGACACACACTGTGCTAGTCTTACTTGGACACACACTGTGCTAGGCTTACTTGGACACACACTGTGCTAGGCTTACTTTGACACACACTGTGCTAGGCTTACTTGGACACACACTGTGCTATGCTTACTTGGACACACATTATAAAAGGCTTACTTGGACACACTGTGCTAGGCTTACTTGGACACACACTGTGCTAGGCTTACTTGGACACACACCGTGCTAGGCTTACTTGGACACACACTGTGCTAGGCTTACTTGGACACACACTGTGCTAGGCTTACTTGGACACACACTATACAAGGCTTACTTGGACACACACTGTGCTAGGCTTACTTGGACACACACTGTGCTAGGCTTACTTGGACACACACTGTGCTAGGCTTACTTGGACACACACTATACAAGGCTTACTTGGACACACACTGTGCTAGGCTTACTTGGACACACACTGTGCTAGGCTTACTTGGACACACACTGTGCTAGGCTTACTTGGACACACACTGTGCTAGGCTTACTTGGACACACACTATACAAGGCTTACTTGGACACACACTATACAAGGCTTACTTAAATGTGAAACGCCAGGCGCCTGTGAAATCTGAAGAGAGGGCGGAATCTTCTTGAAGACTAAGGGAGTTGATGTATTGTTACCCCATGGTCGAATGCGGGTATAAAAGCGGGAGTGAACGATTGTTGGGGTGGTGGGGGCTTTTCGGTAGAGACTAGCGCAGGGGCGTAGCAACCCCTCCCGGCGCCCGGGAACAACTTTTCAAATTGGCGCACCCCCCGCCCCATATATTTTTTTATATTTATAATTCAAAATAGCAGCTAAATGAGCTTATTTTGGCGCCCCTACGGTCGGCGCCCGGGGACATATGTACCCCCCGTCGTTACGCCTCTGGACTAGCGAAAAGGGCATCAGTGTGTAATGTGTGGAAAAAAGTGAGGGCGAATAAAGTACTGAACATTGTCTTGGATCGTGTTTTGTATTAAATGAAAGTATTGAAAGCTAGTCGCAACACAGTACTCAAAAGTTTTTATGGAGGGGGGTGTGAAGGGTTATAGCCCCCTAACCCAGCCCCTTCGCCTACGCCACTGTGTGTAAGTATGTTTGAATATAATTTAATTACATGTGTTCGAAGTTTAATAAACTTACACGCAGTGTCTGTTTCCTGTGCAGTCCGCTTTAGTTTCGCAGGCAGGGGGGTGTCTAAAAACAGGAAAAAAAGATGCGAAACACAATGAGGGGTCGTCCATAAACATCATACGCATTGTGGGGGAGTGGGGAGGGGGGGGGTGGAATTTATGACAATGTGTAACAAGGGGAAGCCCAGGGGTAAAAAAAAGCATGACGTCATGACAATGATTTCTAGACCACGAAGAGGCATACACGCTGTAACCCATGTGTTGCTAGGCCTACTATTGACGGTTCCAACCTATCTTCACACCACAACTCGAGGAGTGTTTGCAAACGCTGCTTAATATCAGATTTTCTCTCAGGCATCTTGGGGGGGGGGCGAATAATATCTACCGCCCCTCCCCCGAACGAAATATAATTAACATATTAATAGAAAATATAAACTTTTACCAGAGTACCCCCCCCCCCGGAGAATAAGCCCCCCCCCCCCCGGAGAATAAGCCCCCACCCCCTCCAGCGGGTGTCCGGTCAAAAAACCCCTGGACAAAAACCCCCCGACAAAAACCCCCTGGACAAAACCCCCCCGACAAAAACCCCCTGGACAAAAAACCCCTGGACATAAACCCCCCGACATAAACCCCCCGACATAAACCCCCCGACATAAACCCCCTGGACAAAACCCCCAGCGATATAAACCCCCCGGATAATAACCCCCGCGACTTATATCGAGGGGGGTTTTTGTCCAGGGGGCTTATATCGCGGGGGGGGGGGGGGGGGTTGTCCAGGGGTTTTTTGACCGGGAGCCCCTCCCGAGTATCGAACCGGAGAATTAAGTCGGAGAGAAACACAGAAAATATTAGTCAATATAGATAAGACGTAGATCACAACTTTAGAACTGTTATATTTATAGATTAAATCAATTTTCAAAAAAAATCATTTTTAAAGAGGAACTTTTAAGCAAAGAAATGGGTAAAACAGCCACACCATTTTTTTTTACCACAGAGAAACAATTCAAAACTTCTCCCATTCAGCGTTCTCCCTAGATTATTTACTTACCCAAAACTAATGGGGTTGATTATTTTCTCAGCAGGTCGGCAGGTTTTTCTTTTATAGTGGACTTCAAATCTACACAACACAAATATGTGTGTAGAGATGGTAGCTAGTTGTAGATGTGTCTGCGTGTTTGTGTATATGTTTGTGTATATGTATGTGTATATGTATGTGTATATGTATGTGTATATGTATGTGTATGCCAAGGTGGACTGGCCGGCAGGTCTACCGGGGAAGATCCCGGTGGGTCCCGAGTAAGATATCCAGTGTTTCTTCCAGACTTTTTTTCTCCAGGGGGGGGGGGGGGGCACTTGAAATTTTCGGGGGGGGGGGCGGTAGACTTTTTTCGGGGGGGGGGGGGGGGGCGGACACTGTTAAAAGTATATATTTTCTATATAAATTATATAAATTTAATTTCGTTCGGGTGGGGGGGGGGGGGGGGCGGTAAAAATTTCGGGGGGCCCCGGAGAGATGCCTGGAAGAAACTCTGAAGATATCCCGGTGGGCCCCCAGGATCATAGTCCTATTCGTGTTATGACTTAAAACAAAATAGGTTCTTGGTATTTTGCCATTTCCATTCCTCCATACCAAGATGTAAAATTCAATATAATAGGGGCAAAAGGCGCACAGTAAAAATTTAGCCTCTTATAAAATGTCCAGGGCCTCCTATATACAACCAATCCACCCCTGTGTTTATAATATACTGATTATGTTTGTATACACTCCTATGTGTTATATGTTTAACTGTAGGAAAAACCTAGCTAAATAAAAGCTTACACGATGAATAGAAATTACCTGCAAATTTCTCCTTTTTTGCAATCTCCATCAGTATCACAATTAGGGTACCGTCTAATATATATATATATATATATATATATATATATATATATATATATATATATATATATATATATATATATATATATATATATATATATATATATATATTCATACATGTGTATATATATATATTTGTAAGTATATATAGATGTATATATACATATGTGTATATATATATATACGTATACATATGTATATATATATATATATATATATATATATATATATATATATATATATATATATATATATATATATATATGTCCATTTTTCACGATTCTTCTATATGTAAGATAATATTCAATATTCAAGCACAAATACAATTTAAAAAACTCTTTCGGTCATTGCACCACAACTTCTAAATATAAAACCTTACGCCATCACCACAGCAACAGCCACCACGACAAGGATCAAAGCAGACGAGAGGTTCATTCTGTTAGAGAGGTCTGGGACAATGTCAAAATGGTTTTAGTTGAATAAGTCCACACGCTTAAACAGATCAAATAAAGCGGTATATCTGCGTGTAACATTTTGGTTTAACTTTCGTCGTTTAATAATTTAATAACAATCTTATTCGTGTGGGAAAGACTGGAAATAAATTATAAACACAGTATATTTTGTAAAAACATTGTTAATTTATTTTCGAGAACTGACCGAAATTGCAGATAGACTGTCTATTTCTACAGCTACTGAGTATAGAGAGCTCTTATCTCCCCTATAACGTAAATATGGACAGTTTTGACATTAAAGCTATCCGAGATTTGAAAGTATAGGTGGTCTAAAGAGTTAAACATTAAGATCTAAATGGAACCAGCTAGACAGATACGTCAACTACACAGAACTCTGTCTAGCTGTAGTTGGTGGCCCATACTCCAGCAGGACAGAGAACTCTGGAGAGCTGTATTTGGTGGTCCATACTCCAGCAGGACAGAGAACTCTGGAGAGCTGTAGTTGGTGGCCCATACTCCAGCAGGACAGAGAACTCTGGAGAGCTGTAGTTGGTGGCCCATACTCCAGCAGGACAGAGAACTCTGTCTAGCTGTAGTTGGTGGCCCATACTCCAGCAGGACAGAGAACTCTGGAGAGCTGTAGTTGGTGGCCCATACTCCAGCAGGACAGAGAACTCTGGAGAGCTATAGTTGGTGGCCTATACTCAAGCAGGACAGAGAACTCTGGAGAGCTGTAGTTGGTGGCCCATACTCCAGCAGGACAGAGAACTCTGGAGAGCTGTAGTTGGTGGCCCATACTCCAGCAGGACAGAGAACTCTGGAGAGCTGTAGTTGGTGGCCTACACCCCAGCAGGACAGAGAACTCTAGAAGACTGTAGTTGGTGGCCCATACTCCAGCAGGACAGAGAACTCTGGAGAGCTGTAGTTGGTGGCCCATACTCCAGCAGGACAGAGAACTCTGGAGAGCTGTAGTTGGTGGCCCATACTCCAGCAGGACAGAGAACTCTGGATAGCTGTAGTTGGTGGCCTACACCCCAGCAGGACAGAGAACTCTAGAAGACTGTAGTTGGTGGCCCATACTCCAGCAGGACAGAGAACTCTGGAGAGCTGTAGTTGGTGGCACACACTCCAGCAGGACAGAGAACTGGAGAGCTGTAGTTGGTGGCCCATACTCCAGCAGGACAGAGAACTCTGGAGAGCTTTAGTTGGTGGCCCATAGTCCAGCAGGACAGAGAACTCTAGAAGACTGTAGTTGGTGGCCCATACTCCAGCAGGACAGAGAACTCTGGAGAGCTGTAGTTGGTGGCCCATACTCCAGCAGGACAGAGAACTCTGGATAGCTGTAGTTGGTGGCCTACACCCCAGCAGGACAGAGAACTCTAGAAGACTGTAGTTGGTGGCCCATACTCCAGCAGGACAGAGAACTCTGGAGAGCTGTAGTTGGTGGCACACACTCCAGCAGGACAGAGAACTGGAGAGCTGTAGTTGGTGGCCCATACTCCAGCAGGACAGAGAACTCTGGAGAGCTTTAGTTGGTGGCCCATAGTCCAGCAGGACAGAGAACTCTAGAAGACTGTAGTTGGTGGCCCATACTCCAGCAGGGTAGAGAACTCTGGAGAGCTGTAGTTGGTGGCCCATACTCCAGCAGGACAGAGAACTCTGGAGAGCTGTAGTTGGTGGCCCATACTCCAGCAGGACAGAGAACTCTGGAGAGCTGTAGTTGGTGGCCCATACTCCAGCAGGACAGAGAACTCTGGAGAGCTGTAGTTGGTGGCCCATAGTCCAGCAGGACAGAGAACTCTAGAAGACTGTAGTTGGTGACCCATACCCCAGCAGGACAGAGAACTCTTGAGAGCTTTAGTTGCTGGCCCATACCCCGGCACAATTGCCAGATATTGGCGCTTGGGATATTTAATATACATACACTCAAACTTGTTTCTCTGGATTTCTATCAAATGCCCATGTAGTAAGAATTGTTATACGTAATTGCAGTAGATAAGTAAATAAAATAGTCACCAGAAGATTGTTGAGGCCCACAGAATTATTCTTACTGTTGATAAATTATGTTGTGTAAATCCTTAAACAGCGTACCCACAACACGTATAAGCATATTATTTGTTCACATACAAATGAGATTTTATATTATCCAATAGAAAACAGACATATTGCAGTCCGATCGAATATCGGAATAGTGCATGAGCGTCTCCAAGGAAATAATTAATTCACAAACCGATTAGACTGGAAGAGAGACTCCATGATTGTGGTATCAGCCACTTTATCCCATACCTTGGTTAAACTGGGGCTTACCAAACGCATACCGTTGAGAGATTTCTTCTTATAACGACCTGTACAGTGATATTTTCTGTATTATTTCTTAACGACTTTTCCTATTTTGTGTTGTTGTTTTGATGATAGGCCATGGTATAATTTGTTTTCTAATTATAAATTTAAAATCAATTAGATAAAATTTAGCCAGCCATCCCTCTTACCTTTAAACCATGTATGGGCGGATTAAGCTTGGACGAGGCCTCCCATATATATAATAAAATATATATGTTACGGTCAAAGCCCGAAGTGCGACCTTAGCCCGTATTGGCCGGCTAATGTGCGCATTGGCCGGCTCTCTTGGCCAAAGCCCGAAGAACTTTGCACTAAGAGCGTATTTCCTACATTGCGCGCACTAGCCGGGACGTGCTGGCCAAAGTCCGAAGCGCTTAAACTTGACAGCGTATTTTGTACATTGGCCGGCCAATGCGCGCTTTGGCCGGGATGTCCTGGCAAATGTATATTCTAGACTAAGTTATGATCGCGTTTTCACTATTCTGGGTGCGGTTTCATTGACCGTAACACACACACACACACACACACACATATATATATATATATATATATATATATATATATATATATATATATATATATATATCCAAGTCTACTACTACTTACATATATAAGGTCCACTACTACTTACATACCGGGTATAAGGTCTACTACTACTACTTAAATACCCATCCATCTTTGGCTACTTGAAGCTTTTTCCTAAACAATCTGAAGTAAAATACAACTAAACAAAATAGAACAAATCTAATATAGATCTACTACTTGAGAAAAACGACTGAGGAAATTAGAAATTACTTTTACGCAATAATTTTGCGCACCAAAACGGAAAAGTTTGTGGTGAAATAAGTTTGTAATCGCGTGGTGCTAAAAAAATGATTTATGAGGTGTTGATTCACTTTGATGTCCTTACATTATTTACATTCTTACGTTATTTGATCCCTAATCCCCCCCCCTCCACACACAAACACTTAATCAAAATAATATAGCAAAGTAACGTTTATAGAACCCAATCTATTTATACGTGTATAAGATTATAATATCTTAAACCAAAATTACTTTTGTTGTTAATTTTAATCTCTTTACATCATATGTCATTCGAAACTATTAAGTTGTATTCGAATTAATCAAATATTTTTATTTTAATAAAAAAAAAAGTAAAGTTCCATTTCGAAACTGACTGTCCATGGAACAGGTGAAGTAGAGTTCACCTGTCTGTGTGTCTGGCATATGAAGGGATCGTGTGGTTAGCACTATGACAGCCGCCTTTACTTTCCCGAACATGAGTTAGGTACTCAATAGAGCTGGACGGACTCAGGGAGGTTCTACTGACTGGATCCCGGATTCGAACTCGAGAATTTCGGGTTAGCGCTAGTGTTTATAGCATCCGCGTTCTTAAAATTCAAGTAATATTGTTTTTAATTATGTAAAAATTCTGTCAAAGGTTGATTAGGTTAGGATAAAATTTGGATGGCGAGACGTAAACATGGGCCCGTGAGTACTCATACTGTGGCTAATGGCGGCGACAAGCAGTCGGTGTGCCTAGTGATCCACCCTTAGGCCTCACTGCCACCTATCGTCTGCTCACGGTGTGCCTAGTGATCCACCCTTAGGCCTAACTGCCACCTATCGTCTGCTCACCAACAGCTAACGTAGCCATGCCCAATTCTCAGCGAACATCATCAGGAGAATTTTCTACAGGGGAGTCGTGGAAATTTCCAGTGTACGTAGGTCTACTAGTTTACATCCCGTCTAAGTTGGTGTACGTAGGTCTACTAAGTACTAGTTTACATCCCTTCTGAGTAGGTGTACGTAGGTCTACTAGTTTACATTCTGTTTGAGTTGGTGTACGTAGGTCTACTAGTTTACATCCCTTCTGAGTAGGTGTACGTAGGTCTACTAGTTTACATCCCGTCTAAGTTGGTGTACGTAGGTCTACTAGCTTACATCCCTTCTGAGTAGGTGTACGTAGGTCTACTAGTTTACATTCTGTTTGAGTTGGTGTACGTAGGTCTACTAGTTTACATCCCGCCTGAGTTGGTGTACGTAGGTCTACTAGCTTACATCCCGCCTGAGTTGGTGTACGTAGGTCTACTAGTTTACATTCTGTTTGAGTTGGTGTACGTAGGTCTACTAGTTTACATCCCGCCTGAGTTGGTGTACGTAGGTCTACTAGTTTACATCCCGCCTGAGTTGGTGTACGTAGGTCTACTAGTTTTTCATCCCGCCTGAGTTGGTGTACGTAGGTCTACTAGTTTACATCCCGCCTGAGTTGGTGTACGTAGGTCTACTAGTTTACATTCTGTTTGAGTTGGTGTACGTAGGTCTACTAGTTTACATCCCGCCTGAGTTGGTGTACGTAGGTCTACTAGTTTACATCCCGCCTGAGTTGGTGTACGTAGGTCTACTAGTTTACATTCTGTTTGAGTTGGTGTACGTAGGTCTACTAGTTTACATCCCGCCTGAGTTGGTGTACGTAGGTCTACTAGTTTACATCCCGCCTGAGTTGGTGTACGTAGGTCTACTAGTTTACATCCCGCCTGAGTTGGTGTACGTAGGTCTACTAGTTTACATCCCGCCTGAGTTGGTGTACGTAGGTCTACTAGTTTACATCCCGCTTGAGTTGGTGTACGTAGGTCTACTAGTTTACATCCCGCCTGAGTTGGTGTACGTAGGTCTACTAGTTTACATCCCGCCTGATTTGGTGTACGTAGGTCTACTAGTTTACATCCCGCCTGAGTTGGTGTACGTAGGTCTACTAG